GCTGGTTCCTTGCACAATCTCGTTCCAAGATGCATGTAGATCACGATCAGTTTGCACATTCCGTTCGTTGTGAGGACAAGACAGACAAGGCCCCAGTGATCGACGTCATGAAGGCTGGCTACATGAAGGCTCGTGGCCTTGTGGCAAATCTGCGTGATGCAGCTAAGCTGCTTGATTTTGGAGGTTGTCGAGTTTTGTTTGGACTTGTTGCTTGTGATAGTGGCATTTGGATGCATTTGGTGCGAATGTGTTGCAGGTGTGCGGAAAAGGCAAGCTGCCAGAACAGCCTGTGATTGTGAAAGCTCGCTATTTCACGAAGGAGGCCGAAGGGAGCACAACAGAATGATTCTCAAACACATGCCATGCAAGTCAATGGCCGAGTTGGCCGTGATGAGGCTGAGGAAAAGATCAAGGCAGTTGGTGGTGTTTGTGTGCTTTGTGCATAGAGTTAGAGTTAGAGACATGAGTCCTGGTTGGCCTGTTCTGCGAGCGAGAAAAGAGCCGCACTTTCACTTTCATTTCATTTGAGGAAAGCAGTGCATGAATCACACAGTGACCTGCTTCCACGCTTTTGGCAGGACACATTGGGATTGGCTGAATGGTACTGCCACCTGTTTAGGATCAAGCTCGCTGCCCACAGTAGGCCACGGCCAGGGCTGCGCAGAACACCTGTGAATCTTGGCAGCCCATAATTGGATGCAATTCAGGAGTTTTCTGACTTCTCTCATTCGGCAGCTTGGTTTCCCAAGGCACGATGACGGCCCACCTCAGGAAAAGCCGCAAGATGCACGGCCACAGGAAGCGAGGCTAGTTGTGTGCGATTCTAAGTTGAGGGCTCCACTTTGGAAGTGTATTGGGGAAGGCCATGGCCGAATTGGAAAGCATCGCAAGCATCCTGGTGGTTGTGGAAATTCTGGTGGCCAGCACCACCACCGAATCAACTTCGACAAGTGAGCGAACCACGTGGAAGTGTTTGTGTGAATCATTTGGGATACATCAACTGATCTATGCTTGCCTTCCAGGTACCATCCAGGTTACTTTGGAAAGGTGCCTGTTCTGAAAAGCAGTGGAATCGAGCTAGGATTTGCTTGATTTGCCGCATGCATACTTACGAAATGGTAGCCTAAGCTACCCGAGTTGCATGTTGATGTTTTTGTAGTGAACTCTACTCTACTCCTCCTCCCAAGCAGCAGCTGGAACAGTGCACGTCTGCTGCTGTGAGCAGGTCGGTATGCGCAACTTCCATCTCATCAAGCATGGCAAGGTCATCCCGATCGTCAACGTGGAGCGATTGTGGTCATCTTCTTGTGCTGTGTGTTCACAACTTCAGCACATGTTGGGTATGGGCATGCCCATATTCTATGGCTATAGTGGAGTGGACTGAGGTCCTTGGTGTCGGAGAAGACACGTGAGTACTACAAGGACTCAAAAGAATTGAGCTGGTTCCTTGCACAATCTCGTTCCAAGATGCATGTAGATCACGATCAGTTTGCACATTCCGTTCGTTGTGAGGACAAGACAGACAAGGCCCCAGTGATCGACGTCATGAAGGCTGGCTACATGAAGGCTCGTGGCCTTGTGGCAAATCTGCGTGATGCAGCTAAGCTGCTTGATTTTGGAGGTTGTCGAGTTTTGTTTGGACTTGTTGCTTGTGATAGTGGCATTTGGATGCATTTGGTGC